GTGTAAAAGCCTAATGGGAACCCAGGGGCGGGGACTCCCATATCAACGTGGAAACCCTGTGGCGGGGACTCCCATATCAACATGGAAACCCCGGGGCGGGGACTCCCACATCAATACGGGAACCCCGGGGCGGGGAATCCCATATCAACATGGGAACCCCAGGGCGGGGACTCCCATATCAACGTGGAAACCCCGTGGCAGGGACTCCCATATCAACATGGAAACCCCGGGGCGGGGACTTCCATATCAATATGGGAACCCCGGGGCGGGGACTCCCATATGAACATGGGAACCTCGGGGCGGGGACTCCCATATGAACATGGGAACCCCGAGGCGGGGACTCCCATATCAACATGGGAACCCCGAGACGGGGACTCCCATATCAATATGGGAACCCCGGGGCGGGGAATCCCATGTCAACATGGGAACCCCGGGGCGGGGACTCCCATATCAACGTGGAAACCCCGGGGCGGGGACTCCCATATCAACATGGAAACCCTGGGGCGGGGACTCCCATGTCAATATGGGAACCCCGGGGCGGGGACTCCCATATGAACATGGGAACTTCGGGGCGGGGACTCCCATATCAACATGGGAACCCCGGGGCGGGGACTCCCATATGAAGCAGTCGAGAATGCTTCCGAAAATTTAAATTTAACCCCTAAAGGAGATCAATCTGGGCGTAGCTGGAGCTTTGTTAGATCCCTAGAAGATACCACTTAAAACCGAATAGGCTTGATTACAAGCCGCTGTTCAGAATGGGACCCCCGCGCTAGAAGACCGGACTCGAGTGACCGGCGGAAATCGAGCTTAAAAATAGCTTCTTCCAGGCGTTCAGTTAGTTGGGGCGCAGCTCGAAAAACGGCGCGCGAAAAAAATTTAAAAACGGAAATAAGAGCATTTTTTTATCACTATTTCTTCGAGCGTACTTCTCCGTATTAATCAGCTTTAATTAACTTGCATTTTACTAAATGAAAGCTCTGAGAGTTTGGTTGATCACTGACATGATAATAATGTTTCATGAAAAACTAAGGTGTTAATTACTCGTGGCAGAAAACGGTTGTCCGTAGCGTCCTACGCAAACACACTTTGACCTTTAGGCGTCTGTGTGAGAAGGCGGTCTTCTGTGGTTAAAAAAAAAAAAACCCGAAATACTTGAGTCTAAGTGACGAGCATTGAAACACCAGTTAATCACTATGCGACAATAAATAACGTAACGGACTTCTACTCTTGATTAAGCGCAAGAGGCATTTACTTTATGGTTGGCCTTGTAGACCCAGCTTTATTCAAACTCGGGTATATATATATATTTTTTCACTATTTGACTTGTTTGACAGGTTAAATTATGAATCGAAACAAGGCGAGAGTGTTTTGTGTTCAGTGAAGCATAGCAAGTCGATTTCCCTTAGCTGGAATGAAAGGGATAACTTGAACGAGTACACCCTTAGGCCCAGTCCACACTGGGCCGGAGAAATTTAAAAACTTAACGGTCTCCGGCGACAGAAACGCTTGAGTGTACCCTTGAAAGTAAGGGTTATTCACGTGACCATGTGACGTCATCGCTTCCGAGAAGCTCCATTTTCAAAATGTTTTCCGTTCAAAACGCAAAGGCCGCTTTTTAAAATTCCTCCGGTTTGAAGAGCGTTTTCGAAAAGCGCCGTTTTCTGTGAACACCTCCTCCGCTTAAGTGTGGACGGTAGACCTAACCAAAGAGATTCTCCGGCGTAGTTTGAAGGGTGCCGTAGCGATTTCTGAACTTTCTAAAACGAAACAAATATAAGTTGCAAAAATGTCGGGTTTAAATAACACTGTGGATGCATTTATTCGAAACACGACCGTGTGACCGGGCATTTTTAGACTCCTGTTTTCAAAAATTACGTTATAGAACATATAGTCGTTTCGTCATGGGTGAAAAGTTGAAAAGCTGAAAGTTTATTGGCTTTGCTCAATGATGCGATAGTCCAGTCCACGTGTTCACCGCCCGTAATTGCTCGTCCATAAGTCAAGAGGGTCTTTAACGCTTCATTTGAATCCTAACTGCCCGCGAGTTTTAAATTTATTTTGTGCCTTGATCCGTAAAAACACGCCATACATATTGAAGTTTTATTTTTCAACGGTTATCTTTGCTTAGGAGTATAGACTGATTTTGCACAAAATCTTGCCGAGTTTGTTCAACTTTTCACAAGTTTTAATGAAGTATCACAAAGGCCAGTGAAGACCACAGATAGACGTAACAATTTGCGTGACAGGCAGCGATGACGAGAAAATAGCAATCGCGTTAAATTTTATCCGTTAGAAATGAAAATAATCATCTCTCACTTAATTATTTCGAATTCTTAATTAACTGTTCCTCTGATGGCGTGAAAATATTTCAAAGCGGAAAAATATCGTTAATGGACTCTTGAAGTTCCTAAGAACAAAAGGTGATAAAATCGATTGTGACATTTCGGAATTGCGTCTTTTTGTTTGGTTTTTCATTCCTCGTGGGAAACAAATTAAAAATTCCTTTAGCGCAATACCACGCAAGATCAGCCACAATTAACAGCTATAAAAAAATTCAATATTTGAGTGAGGTCTGAAGCGGGATTTTTGATAAAATTATGCAAACAAAACAAACCGCAGTGAGCTTGGCGTGTTTTTCTGGAGGCATCTGCTTGTTTGTTTACCACGATATGTTTTCTTTCACAACAGATCTTTACATCACATGCTGTTATCTTTCATCTCGATGACAAAGGCACATGGCGGGGGAAAAATGATCTTTTCGTTAAACGCCCGGGTTAAACGCTCAAGCGGAATTTCAATTTTCGCGCTCTTTTTCTGTTCGAAAATTTTTACGCTGCCATCGCTCAGTCGATGTAAATTTGCGACGTTTGAATTAAGCGGCGGGTAAGTAATCAAGAGCAAATAACAACGCGTCCCTGACGCTTGCCCCTTGCGGCACAATATTGTTACGATAGCGCCTTAGTCTTCGGAATATAGAAACGCCTCATCCCTAGATTGTGCTGACCCAAAACAGAAATGATGTTTGAGTTTTCAGAAATGATTTTTCTCTGGAAAACCCAGTGAACTAAAAATTAAGATTAAACTGCCCCTCTCAACTTAAAACTGTGATGATTGAATTCTGTCTGTTCTGGGGGGACATGACCTTATAAACAAATAAGAAAATAACTGATTTACACAGGAGTTGACTCGCGCCCTCTCTAACGGTCCACTGTCTCGTGGACATGCTTTTAAGAAAAAGAAGTCTTGCTATACCATATAATGCGAGAACTTACCTCAGCAAATTGCGAAATGCCAGGCGAGTATTTCCTGGCCAAATTGTTTTTCTGGGTTATTTCTGTGCGCACTGAAGCAAGTGCTGAGGCATCCACTGTGACATGAAAGAAAAACGTGAAAAAAACCCAACCGTTAGTCCAGTCCATACTCAACAATCTTATAATTGCGCAAAAATGGATTACCTGGCACAGAGCTCGCGATCTCAAAGCTTGCACAAGTGAGCACGACTACAAACAGTCCTCCGAAGTTATCCCGATGCATTTTAGCGGCTAAATGAGGATTCGAATTTGGTGTAACGGGTTATAAATTTTGAAATTGATACGATCTGTGAAATGCAATATCTTTGCTGACAGCCCAGCCGGAAATGTTCAGAAAACGATCCAATCTCGAGCGAGCCCTTGTATGAACGGTCACGAATTCTTGATCTCTTGGAATTTACAGCTGTGGGAGCAGAGAAAATATGCGCACTTTCTTGTGCTGTTTCTCTTTTTATATGGGATTTAAAAAATCATTGTTCAAGGCGTCAAGTCCATTATTCAATTGTACTTGCAAATTTCTGGTTTCCACGGAAACATATAACACATGTTTTACCGAATCTGTTGTTCAGCGTCACGCTCGGGCAGTTTGAGAAATAACCCTGTCTCCTTCCCTCAGTATATTTGTTTATAAGAAGACGTTTCTCCAGCTCAGTTGGTTGTATAACTTTAAGTAAGTTTACTCCCCAAAAGGTTCAGGAATTTCTTTGTGAGTAGAGCACTTCTATGTTCACATTCTTTAGAGATACCGTCACTAACCAAAGAGTTTTCTTCTAAAAAGGCGCGTTAATTGATTCGAGTAGATTCATGATGAACTAAACAATAACTGTTCAGACAAAAAAAGCTCTTTTCTGTTTTAATTAGTGGAAAATATAAACTGAGGTCCGAAGTAGTCGAGTATTGAACGACTCAGTCTAATTCTTCAACAGGCCAAAAAGATGTAATTAATTGGCGTCAACCGGCTTAAGGTACATAATCTAGAAATATTCCGAAAACAAAATTGCTAAAGAGTTGTTAAACTATATTTACACTGAACGTTTTTGATCATTGAGATCATCATTGGAGTGTCTCACAGGGTTTTCTTACAACTTAGCTTAGGCCTGAATAAAGATTACGTAATTCCCATAGGGAGCCATGTTTAATACTTGAACAGAATGAAATGATATTAAAAACTTAGACTGGATTGAATTTGTTTGTTAAGTTCGAGATGGAAGCGTGCGATCAATCATTTCAATTCACATTTTTCTCTCTAGGACGTTAGGTAATCTTTATTCAAGACTGATAATGATGTAAATGATCAAAAACGGTAAATGTACATACTTTCAACGGCTTTTTACCTAAAATTCTTTTACATATTTTTACTCAGCAAAATGTCCACATAAGCTAGAAAGTGTCACGTTCATAGCGACCATCAAAACAGCTAATTAAGTTTAATTTTTTTCCTCCAGTGAGAGCTCACTTAACTCACAGTTATACCGTCAGCTATGCGAGCTGACGGTATAACTCTGTGTATAACTTATACCAGTGACGGATCATGCCATCCTGGGACGAACTTGAGAAAAGGACGATAGCTCGTCTAATAATTCGTCAGTGTATAAATACGGCAAGCTCGTAGCTAGGGGAGGGGGGTCCTGGGGTGCCCTTGACCCCCCCGCCTTTTGTAAGCCTTTTTTAAGCAAACAACCTACAAGAGGTGACATGATAATCTGGTGAGTACCCTCACTTTGACACAGTGTGACCCCCCNACAGTGTGACCTCCCCCCCTCCCCCGTTTGAAAAATTCTGGCAAGTTCGTCTTGACATACGAACTACGTGGATAATTCGCCTGCACGGATGATCCGCCGTTTGCTCGTTTACGCAGACTGAATCATCAGACGAACTACCGTTCTTTGTCCAAGTTCGTCCCAGATTGGCATTTAGTGTTTAACTGTGTTTATTTTCTGTTGACTCAATAAATTTAGATGTAGATGTATTTATATTTCACGGATGATTCGTCTGGACAGATTAGTGATCCGTCTCTAGTATACTATGGGTGCGTTCCTTTAGCATGATCTGGCTGATCAGGATCAGTGATCCAAGATCACTTGGATCATGGTTCATCAAAGGAACTGATGAATCCGTGACCAGAGTGGATTCATGGGTTCCTTTGATGCAGCATTATCCGAGTGATCTTGGATCACTGATCCGGCTGGATCACCCCAAAGGAACGCACCCATAGCACTTTTATCGAACCAACGTTTCCCGGGTGACCCGCAATCGGTTATGATAAGTAGCTGCGTGCGATATTTTGATCTTGAAGAATAATAAGACAGTATCAGAGAGGTTAAAACGTATTCTTAGGTTATGTTGCTTTTGGATTTGTAAAGCGGGGAAATTAAGTCACGACAAAACAATTTCATTTTGGCTCCGTCTGCGTCGATGCCGAATTCAAATGGAAAACGCTTCTTTTTTAAAAACTTGATTTTCTGTCGAGAACTCATCTGTAATGAAGAGCAGGGATAGGCAATCGGAAAAAGTGAAATGCAAAAACCAGCGGAAAGTAATTACTAAAGAAAACTTTTTTAAAGGTAGGATTTCAAGTTGCATTGTTAAGTAGGAACCAGAATGATGTCATCGAGTCAGTAATCTCGAACATTGTTAAAAATCTAATCCACCTAACCGCCAAATATGAACGAGCAAGTGCCGCTATGAAATAACCACTAATCACCAACCGTCTATTCTTCTGTAAACAAACCTTGTTTTGGTTTTTTTCAGGGTGTTCCGCGTGGATGATCTAAAGATGCCAATGACGACACGTGACTAGTATCATTGGTATTTTAAAAAAGACGTGAAGAACGTCATTGGTGTAGTGACGTCAACAGACTAATCTATTATTTTCCTTTATATGAAATTTCAAAACTCATAACGGTCGGCGCTGCCCAGTTTATGTTGGTATTTGAGTCAAAAATAACTTTTCCTTTACCTCGGGGATAGCCTGCAGAACAGGTGGATTAGCGGAAGAGAGCGAAACGCGATACACGAGCGCGGAGCGCGAGACGAAAAAAATCCGTCGAAAAAAATTCGTCTCGCGCTTCGCGCTCGTGGTCGCGCTCGTGGTTGCGCTCCGCGCTCGTGTATCGCGTTTCGCTCTCTGCCCCGCTAATGTAAGCTACCTCGGGAATGGTTCAATTTCGCCCCGGGGCTTTCACTAGCGACGGTTTATCTTTCAGGTCCAGTACCCTGCCGGTTCAAATTCCAAATACTCTCTAGGTCTCTCCACCCCGCCACGATCACCCACCTTTCCAACAATTATTCCAAATTTCAGAATTGAATTTTTGACTTCAACTTTATGGCTTCCATCACCCAATAACTTGTTTAATTTTTGAAATAAAAAGTGATTCTTGCAATATATTTAGAAGAGCAAAGTTGCCTTTGAAGCTTAGTCTTTCTGTACTTCTTTTGTACACAATCTTTCAGCCTCCGCCCTGGGCATTTAACTCCGATATACCAGTTCTCTTGAGATTTATTTTCGAAATGCCCGTTTTTCCTATACCTTAGGCCGCCCCGCTTATAAGCCCTCCCCTTTATAGGCCCATCTAACTGTATGTAAACTAAAAAATGCATCCGGATATAATTAAGCCCCCCTCTAGCTTTCCTTTAATAGTTTTGAATTTGTTTTGTTTATTTCGATCAAAATGTGAAACGTTTTTATAATTTTATAATGATATAATTTATAATTCGGTTATAAGCCTACTCGGACATAAGCTCTTCCGTTCATAAACCCATCTAAAAGCTCTGATGAAGTTGTATACGGCCCAGGTACCCAGGCAGTGGCGGATCCAGACTTTGAGCTAAGGGGGGGACGGTTATGTTTTACTTGCCTTGCCGGCTTTTCTTCTTTCCGTCATTTCTTCTGTTTTCACCCAAAATAAGGCGGGAGTGGAGGGGGCCCTATTTATTTTCTGCGTAAATTATATGTCACCATACATGATGTCATACATAAATAATCTTTTTAAAGTTGCTCTATAGCCGCTGACAACAATAAGTGGCGGCTCACACCACAGCGAGCACGCTTCCTGCTTTCTCTCAAAATGTCGGCTGAGTTTTATCTTCGCTACTACGTTGGACACAAAGGGAAATTCGGCCACGAGTTTCTGGAATTTGAGTTCCGACCCGATGGTAAGGAGATGATGCAACAGCTGATTAGACTATGAAAGCTATTATTGAAGATTTTTGCTTCTTTTAGGTAAACTTCGGTATGCAAACAACTCGAACTACAAGAATGATGTGATGATTCGAAAAGAGGTTAGTAAGCTTACTTAATGCTAATTTTTTTATCTTTCCCGTGAAATTTACTTTGTAATGGGGTCTGATTCAACTGTTACCAAGTTACTTTGTCTTTTGTATCACCAAAGAAGTGGCTAATCACAAGTAGCTTCTGTTGATGTTGAATCGAAAGAGCCATAACTTCAGCTTACATGTAGCAGCCATTCGTGAAGCTGAAGATTTATACTTTGACTCACATGCAATTGCGCATGTTTAGATGTCATTAATTTATAAAATTCTATCAGCTTGAAAATCCAAATCATACAAAAATTCGCACTGTATTCGCTCATAATAATTATGGTGCACGACCCATTTGAATGCTTGGTAATCATGTGCCAGTTTATGCAGAAGTTCTTTATTAATTTCAGTATTGAACTAAAAGGCTATCTGCACTAGGCTCTAAAAGAAATTCATGGCAAACGTTTTTCTCCACCAGTTTTGTTTTTATTTTAAGTGTATTTGCTCTTAAAGAATATCAGTAAATTATTTGCTGATCACAAAGAGTCAGTCACAAGAAATTGAACATCTGCTGTTCACACAAAACAACAACTTAACTAGGTTGTTTTTCTACAAACAGAAGGTGTTCAAATATTTTCCCTAAAATTAATGATTTGACAGATTTGTCAGATTTCACACTTTGCAAAAATTCCCCTAGCCAGATAGGACCTAAAGGTCGACTTCCACAGTAATGTAATTTTGTCGGTGAAAATGTACAGGTACATGTATAAATAAATTAAAAAAGCTTGGATGGTTAGCTTGTATTTGTGAAAAAAGTTCAACCTCATTCAACTTTTCTTATGGGTGTGAACTACACATACAAAATTTCCTCAATAATTATATTTACAGCGATCATCATAAACTTGCGCATATAAGCTTGCATCATAGTAGAAATCTCCCTTAAAGTACAAGGATTAACAATAACAACCTGCGGATAGAACTTGACTTAGCCTACGAGCAGTCCCTCTTTTGCTTAGTCCGTCATACGTAATGCGAAAGAAAACCACGAGAAAAAAATGGCCTTGTGAACTCCTAGGAGCGAGAAGCATGCGAAAGTTTCAAGTGGAAGTCCAGTTCAGTCTTTCAAATGAAGGGCAGAAAGGCCAACTGTAAACATATTCTAAGAATTTCACATAATTTCTTTGCGATGCTGTTGACCTCTTGGTAAGTGATGAAGTCACTGACACGCTCACATTCGGGTTCATGGTGAAAGCTTTGCCAAACAAAGCACTTGATAAATGTAACTCTTTCCATAGCCTGTTGGCAGAATCGCAACATCGAACATCATGGCCTGTCAGAAGCAACTCCAAAGCTTTGATTTGTTCCAGTTCCAAAGCTTTCACTAAAGCTTTTTATTTTAGAAAGTGAGATAAACATTCCCGTAAGATGTCACATGTATCTTGAATGTTGACAATGTATTGTCAATGCTCCCCACATAAGCCAATTTTTGCATTGTTAGAGCAATGCATAATTCAAACCCTCTGGCTTAGTTGGTAGTCCCTCCTTTTGGGTGTGTCTCACCCCCAGGATTTCACACAACATTTTTTTTCCTCCTGGTTTATTTACAATCTCGCTCAACGGACTAAGCGAAAGAGGGACTACTCTTAGTCTAAACTTGATTTCCAATATAAATCAAATATACAGCATGTAATACCATGCTTGATTGAGAGTGATACAAGTATTTACCTAATGGTAAAAGACTATGGCTGTTTGATTACTAAACTCAGTTGAACTCAATCATTATTATTACATGTATAAAAATAGTTCAGTTATGGGGAGCTAGGGTGATTAGTTTGGTGTTGGTTCTTCTCCTTGTGCCACTTGAGGATTTTCCCTTCGTATACAAAAACCAGTCTTCCAAATCCTAATGTGGTCTTGTTGTTCTTAATGAGTGTATGAGAGCTTTTCCATTTTGTCAAGGATGAATGATCAAAATTCAATTTACTTTAAAGCAAAAAATAATTATAGCTACATTAGTTGAACTTCATTGAGTACAAATACAGATATTAGACAATACTTGATGCTTTACGAAGGCCTGGTGGCCTGACTGTGCGGGACTCCAAAAAAAAAGTTATCCAGGATTTACAGTAAGCACTGGTCGTGTTTTGTTGCATTTTTGGGCAAGATGTTTTGCTCTCATTTTGCCTTCATTGCCTCAGGACAATAAATGAGTACACCAGTGAGGTTTTAGTACTGTTTCTCTATATTTTTTGTTTATAGGCATTTGTTCATAAGAGTGTTATGGATGAGCTTAAAAGAATAATTGAAGACAGTGAGGTTTGTGATGCATTTTTGTTTTTGCCAGAAGCTTTTCCATATTTTCTTTTGAAACTGATATTTAAGACTGTATGTAAGGATATTTACATGTACAGTGTATGTGACTTGTTCCTCTTGGGATAATGTTACTCCCTTCATTAGCTTGGGTCTCTGCACTCTGCACTCATTGGAGCCTGAACTTTTTTGGCTTTGTTAAGTGTTGTTACAGCATGTTCATATCACATATCATTATGGCTAGCGAGTCTTACTACTCAGCATTCTTGTATGTTCCCTAACTTTACCTGCTGCAACATCCCTTCGAAACATCAAACTTGCTTTGTGTTTGATATCATTTCCACATGGTAGTCATGTAGATGTACTTTGTACACATCCAGCATTTCAGATGCAATATCCCTTCATTTTATATACATGTAGGTGGAAAAAAATATTTTCAAAACGCAAAATACCATCTGGTAGTAATAAGGCTCTCCACTTTTGAAGAAATGTAAGCCCAAGACTTACATGTGTGGTCAGAATTTTACAGTTATGTAACTAAATGGCATTGTTTATTTGTAATTATGGCTACTGTTTGCCAGGCTTCATTGCATAATTTTCATTATTTGTACACAGATACTGAAAGAAGATGACACATTTTGGCCTCAGCCAGACAAAGTTGGTAGACAAGTAAGTGGGTTTAGTACTTTCCAAATGCATGCTAGGAATACTTTGTTACTTACTTACTTAGGCCTCTTTGCGCCATGTGGTGCATAAGGCCCCCACAAGGTCCCTCCAATATTCCCTGTCCTGGGTGGTCTTTGCAGCCTCACCAAGGTGAGGCTCACCCTTTCGCTCAGTTCTTTTTCGACTGACTGTTGCCATGTCAGTGTGGGCTGCCCGTGTTTGTGAGTTCCTGTTGTTGTCCAGTACATGGCTTCTTCAGTGATGTTGCTTGCAGGCTTCCTCAAGGCATGGCCTATCCAATTCCACCTTCTTCTAGCTAGGTCTACCATACATACCTTGGAACAAGGTATGTACCAATGATGCATATCTTGGAATAAGGTTCATGTAAAATCCATACAAGGAAGGAAGATGGAGTGGCCTAATGGGCATGGTTAGTTCATTGGATCTTCGATGGAATTTGCTTACTGTGAATAGGTGATTGTTACGTAGGGAAAAAAAAAAAACAACAACAACAACAAAAAAACGAAAGCAGCCCTTGTACATGTATGTGCCCTGGCTTGGACCATTCTTTTGTATAGTTGGGGAAGACACTTGTGCCTCTTGCCACACAGGAATATAATCGAATTCTGTTGAATTCTTAGAGCAACACAACAAATGCTGGCTGGAGGTAGAACTAGTGTCCTATCCAGGGTAGAAACATTTGTAACAGCTTTATGTTACAGAAACTGGAATTATTTCCAGTGGTGCAGACACCTTTTTCTCAGCACAGACCTTTTCCCTTACCTTGCAGGGAATCACGCACGTGGTCTAGTGAGTGTGACATCCTCCTATAAGCATACTCAAACATGGATTTTTTTCCAATTTACAGGAACTTGAAATTGTGATGGGTGATCAGCATATCTCATTCACAACATCTAAGATCGGTTCTCTCATTGATGTCAATCAATGCAAGTATGTGTTGACTTTTGCTTGCATAAAGTAGAGCCAGTAGCTTCTCAGTGTCTTTTATTTTTGTAGAGGTCTTGTTTATTCCAGAGTTGTGAATATTGCAATGTACATGTGTGCCATACGTGTTCAGTGTGGACATTACGTACTTTTTCAGTATAAATGAGAATATTCTTAATGATCTCAGGAGATGCCAAAACAGACAAAGAATTGTTAATATCTGTACTACATGACTATGACTCTGAAATAGAGCCGAAATATTGTAAAAACCTGGTTTTTAATAATGTTAACAATCCTCAGACTCGTCTTGTTTATGTTCAATTCAAAACTGTCGGATGGTGCTGGATTTTGGATTATCTGTCAAACCATCAGATACACATGTTAGGGGTTCATCATGCAGTTGCTTCATGTCCTTTTATTTTAGGATCTTTTGTTGTCCAAATTTGATCATTCTCTTAAACTGTTCCTACTGTTGTTGTGCACATGCCCACACTAATTTGAGCTCCACTTTTCAGATATTCTGTTTTGTGAACACCACACAATTTGTGGCCCGTGACAGTGTCAGTATGAAATAATGAGGATGGAATGTAGTTGGTACAGTTCAGTTACACTGTACATGCACGTTTTCTCACACACTGTACACCTAAAATGGTTTTGTGATTATGTGGATGTTTTGCTGTTATTTTGCAGAGATCCCGATGGCTTGAGAAGTTTTTATTATTTAGTTCAAGACCTCAAGTGTATGGTGTTCTCTCTTATTGGCCTTCACTTCAAGATCAAACCCATCTAAATGCTACTACGCACTGTTCTGTGAACACTGTTGGTTTCAATGTTTATGCACTGACTTCATCTTTATGTCTGAAACTTTCTTCCAACGTTCCTTGCCTTTTATAATTTTCTATTATATTGGTAAATGAAAAAAAATTAAGCACACTGCAAATAGGCCAATCTGAGTTACCTTGTGCCTCTGTTTCAAAACGAGTCTTCAAGCTAAACCTTTCATATGAAAATGAGTTTGATTTGCATGAAAATAAACCTGTAGGCGGAACACATTTTCATATGAATGGTTTCGCTTGAAGACTCGTTTTGACGCAGAGGCACAAGGTAACTCGGAAGTGCGCAATTATTCCTCCCTGTTTTGCTTATAAATGTGTTTCTGGTTTTTAATTCGAAAGCTACAATACTACAGTAGAAAGAAAATCTAAGTTAGTAACAAATCTTCAATTTATATGGTTGGGGTACATGTACCTCTGTTTGCCACTCAGTGTCCCACTCAGTGTGCTGTAGCTTTCAAGCTTTCTGATGTTAACAATATTTGTAAAGAGTTCTTGAGTTAGTACCACAACTTGCTGGTAAATGACATACTCGAATTTAAACATCTTGCTCTTATATCGTCTTTGATTGTGTACACAGATATTCAGCAATCCCTTTACAACAACTCACGCATGTAGATTTTGTCTTGAACTGATCTTAGCTCCAATAAAGTGATAGATCTTTGCAAATGCTTTATTTTGAAAAAGAGGTATACAGCTGTACGGGAATTTGTAATTCACTAAATGAGCAATAATTTTTTTACTCTATGGCTGATCACATATCGTCCGCAATTACCGCAACGCCTTGTTATTTTATTTTTGCAATTCATGTAAGGTTTGTTATTTTTTACAAATGGGCAGGAAACATCGAACGAATGAAAGGGCTTGAATCATCCTGTTTTCTCTTATGTTTGTCGAAAAATCCCTGGACACAAATAATGACAAAACAACCTTAATCTCTACTCTTTTAATCACAGTGTAACTTGAACAGTGTTAACAAACTTTTCTTTGCAAACATTGAAAAGTGCAAAAAATCAGAGCTCTTAAAACATCACTGGTCTGATTTTCATCTCAGCTCTCTTCACGGAGTAGCTATATCCTTTCCAGGTTCCCCAATTGACACCGTGAAATCCCGAGTGTNCGAAGTTAGTCCTGCAGTGTAAAGAAAATCTGAGTTTGTAACAAATCTTCAATGTATATGGGTGGGGTGGGTAGGTAGGTGGTGGGTGGGTAGGTAGTAAACACTTCTGTTTCCAAACTCAGTGTCGCATGTTTATTATTATACAGTACATATCAGTTTGATATGTGCGTCAGCTTTCAAGCTTTCTGATACTTTAATTATTTGTAAAGAACATTGGAGTTAGTACCACAACTTGCTGAGAAATGCTATATTTGATTTTAGCCACCTTGATCTTATACTCTCTTTGATTGTGTACATAAATATTCAACAATCTCTTTACAAACGACTCGCACATGTAGATTTTGTGTTAAACTTTTCCTAACTTCAACAAAGTGATAGATCTTTGCAAACAAACCTTGTTAATTAAACGTCTTCAACATGCTTTAATGTGAAAATAGAAGTAAACAGCTATACCAGAGATACGGTGAAATGTGGCATATTTGGCTTGCACACCTATCGTTCACGAGTGGGTTCCGTTCAGCTCAAACCTTTTCCGGCTGAAAAGGAATGAATAAAAGAGGGAACTTACAAAAGAATAGCAAAGGTAAGGAGGGGGAAACTAAGACACAAGGAAAAAAAGAGAGATTAATTTCCCAGATGAACAATTTTTTCCTGTATAGCTGATTACAAATCGCCTGGGATTACCGCACCTCATTTTTTTGTGTCTGCACTTTGTACGTGTGGGCAAGAACGTCGGACAAATCACAGGGTTCGAATCATCCTCAGGTTTTGCGGCTTTTTTTGACACAAAATCCTGGTACATAACTAATGACCTAACAACCTTATTTCTCTGCTATTTTAATGGCATTGTAACTGATCAGTTTTAACAAACATTTATTTGTAACACAAACGAGTAAAAATGCAGAGAGTTCTTAAAAGTTCACTGGTCTGATTTTCATCTCAGCTCTCTTGGCGGAGTACTTATGTCCTTTCCAGTGATACCAGTTGACACCATCGGCACTTGATGAGTGTTTTCCGTGATGATACAGACCGTTCAGGTTGGAGTGATGACAGTGGTCGTACCACCAGGCTCCTTTATACCTCACAGCGCGGTTGCTGCCCCATTTGTCGTTATCGTGATCTTTGGTGCTAAAGGGGGAACCACGATGAATAGAAAGCGAATCACCAGCAGTTCCTGAAAACAAAACATGAGAGTTTGACCTCACTAACACTAGTATATAAAAGCTTAAGTATCTGTTTTTAAGAAGCCGGATAACAGAGAATCCTGGAGAACTCTACTGAGAGTTCACTTATGAATCAGACAATAAGCTGTCTTTTAGAAAATGTCGGAAAACTAATTAACTCACAGCATGTTTGGACCTTACCAAAATAAGCAAGTATTCGTATTTACTGCCTTTATTTTCACTGAAACTAACATACCTTGGAATATAACCTTAAATCGAGCAGGAATTAACAGCACACTGAAATAAAACTACTAAAAGATATAAAGGTAAGAAATAATAAAATAAATATATTTACCTGAGTAAGTTCCAAGACTCAGCTTGTACTTAGTCCTCTCGCTCGTAACTGCAAACATGTCGTACTCGGCGTAAGCAGTTTTGCCTGCCGTGTCTTCCAGTTCTACTCGAAGTCTGTTCTTTGTGTTCGTCAACCGGTGTATCTTGTCCAGTCCCAGCCAAAACTCGCCATTCAGGTTACCGAAGCCATTCTTGTAGTCAGCCCAGCCGCGGTAGAAATCAACGGAGCCATCCAGTCTCTTCTGGAACACTGTCCA